AAGTTGAAAATAACAGATTACAACAACTCGGATTAACGGAAAATCTACAAACTCTATTTCAACCCATATTAAAATCTCAAGAGGATATTAAAAAGAGACTCATCCCTCCTATAGAACCCATACCTCCTATAGAACCTCATCACCCAGAACCGAATCCATATGGTGGTATTATAATTAGGACATTAGATGATATTAACAGTCTTTTTTCAAATCCTAAAGCAGATTTACCAAAGAGTATTACACCAATCATTGATGATGAGGGGTTATTGTTTAATGGATTTAGAATAAAATTTAGGGCAAATTCCCCTATATTCAAAATCGATACAAAAGACTTAATATTTACATTAACGAAAGGATTAATAGATTTAATGAATGGCTGGTATATTGGCATTGCCGATTACAAAGATTTACTAGCATACTCAAAATTTCTACATGCAATAAGAAAGTCGGGACCCGAAACAAGAAGATCGAAAGCAGTTGAAACATATTTAAATAAAGTTATTCCTGATAAAGAGGAATCAGATGATTATGCAGAAGATTATACACCAATCATACAAGAAATAGACGATTTCGGTGATATGGTGGCTTCTGGACAAGGTATAACAACGTATATTAAAAATGTCAAATAAAGAACAACTATTCGTCATCACCTCACATAAATCAGACATTAAATTGTCTCTAGATTATGAGTACGAACTCGATCGCAATCAAGAATATGAATTGGGATTAAAGCATTTCTCTGTTTACAATTCCATTAGAAATATCAACGAAAAAAATAATCAAATAAAAATATCAACAGATAATGGAGTTACGTTCAAAACCATACGTTTACTACCAGGAAGCGACGAATACATAGCCATTAACGAATACCTATCTGAATAGCTAATATCGAGAATGATATCGATGTGATAAATATACATTGCAATTTGATAAACGGTTGATATTTCATTAAATACAAACGTCAGATTATATACAGTCTTCCAACATTCACTGTACCGATAGGATATAGAATTATAGAGAAACCATTTCAAACGACGTATTTACCACTTAATTCCTTTATGATTAAAGATATAAATCTGGAAATCAAAGACGGTAAAAATAGGTTTATAGATTTA